GAATAACCAATAAGGTCACCAGTTAAACAGTTGTTATAGTGATGACTGGACTCTACATTTTTCATTTCATTTTTCATTATTCATTGAAAATGTGTTAATTTAGTGATTTCGTATCTTTTAAATGATTTTGGAGCAAATATCTTGCAACGTGTGGAAAGAATTTAAGCCCAAGACTCAATGCATAAATGACCATTCCTTTTAGGCGTGTTTCATAAAATTAACACTCGATGCTCCGCATCTCGTGCAAATTTTGAAAAGGAACACCTTCAAGCACGGGTCATTCCACATTGCGATGAGTCCAGGGCTGAAATCCTATAAAAAATCAAGGATCAACATTCTTATAAACGTTATACATTAATCACTTGTAGGATTTTCACTCAGGGGGATGTCTAGGACGAAATTTCTTCTTACATGGGTTCACAGAGTGGAACAGATCATGCTGGGTAGCTTAGAGGATGTAGGTATGGTGTGTTCTGGATAGATTTTCTGTTGATCTAATTATCTAAATAATATATTTTTTGAGGATGACTATGAATTATATTTTTGGACATGCTGAGTTGCGGCTATTTTTGATTTTTAAGTACAATATTGCCCACTGCGTGCCTTTGTTTTTAACTATTTTATATCCAAATAGCCAAGTTAAAATTATGAAATGGCAAATTGTCTTGTAAAAAGCAGATTTTTTGTTCTGAACATGGAATATTTTGAAAGGATTTCTAATGCATTTCTCATATTTATGGAATCTTTATAGAATGGTTACCACAGTTTGGTACTGTAAAAATTGTGATTGGCGTCTCAAAAAGAATTTCCTATGGAGTTACTGCAGGGATCACTCAGTATTCTGTTGTATCTTTTAGCTCCTCTTTAATTGAATATAGAAAGCTTTTTAGATAAACTACCATGGGAACATGGGGCTAAAATGTAAAACACAATGGTTAACACCGGGATAATGAATAGATAAATACACCAGTAATAAACATTGCTAAGTACATGAAGTAAGTGTCTATAGACTAGATGTCCTGTCAAGTTTAGAAAACCCTTAACTTAAAGGTAGTTAGCAGTTAGTTACCAGTTTCGCCACCAGGTGGCTGATTCGGGGGAATTAACATGACAGGGTAATACAAAATTCCCTTTAAATTGAATATGCATCAGTTTTAATGGTTCACTTTTCATATTACCTTTATGTGTCTGATAGTTTATACAATTTAAAATATGTCCAGTAAAAGAAAATATTATCTGCCCAACACAAGAAAAGATATTTCACTTTTTGTGGTTTTACAACATGGGCTCTATGGGGAATCTCCCCGACCTAGAAGTCACATTTTCAAAGAAAATTAAATTTTCAAAGTTGATAAACTCTTTTCAAAACCACATTTCTAAATGTAATTTTACATGTAGATTCCAAATATGACACTAGTTTGACTGAATTGTGAATTTTTAATGGCATAAATCAAGATTATTTCTACTCGCATCCGGGATATTAGAAATACCCTGCGGAGTTCAAATTGAAAAAGACAAATGAAACTTATATTCACGAGCGCACCTCATATATCGACATTCTAATTAAAATTGCACAAGTGCAACGTATATTTCAAGAGATGACTTGAATTTTGAAAATTTTCACATTTGTTTAGTGGTATTCCATTGAACCCGCTAAAAAATATTCAGATTTTAAATCACACATGTTTTATTGCTAAAACGCTTAGGTAATGACATTTTCTATGCTTTACTGAGAAAAGTAAATCATTAGTTCAGAACTTTCAAATTTTGCTACTTGACATGCTCAGGGATGTTGGGATTCTTAAAGGTTTGCATTTAACTCACACATTTTTCATTTGGCTCCTTGTGGAGTTGGCTTTGCGATGTTGACCCTTTGCATTTCTACGCTTTAAATATGGACTTCGAGACTGGAATTTGCTTGTTTCACATCGTTTGACTTCAAGTATCCTATTCATGCAGTGGATGTTTGCATGGTAGTAGTTCAAATAAGGTAAATAATACACTCTCGTGGCCTAATTTGGAAACAAGGCGGTCAATGCAAATTAATAAATATTTTAGAGTTAAAAATAATCTCACACCAAGCTATGTGACAGACATCTTTGAACCTCTGAGAACTCAAATCACTCGAGAACTCCGATCTAATCTTGATTTTAAAATACCTGCCAAAATGTTCAATCAAATTTAGAAACTCCTCTGTCCTTAATGCTATCTCCCAATGGAATAAATTACTGAAGCATATTCGAGAAAGCAGAACAATTGCCAGCTTCAACAACCCACTAAAAGATAATACCCAAACCCCCAATTTTCTACCTACTACTTTTGACAAGAAGTCAAGAAATAATTCTCAATAGATTCAGGGTTGACTTGCTCACTTAAGCTCAATTATATGGCCATAATTTTTCTTATATAGAGACACATAACTGCTCTTGTGGTGCGCCTGGAACACCCAAACATTTATTCTTTAATTGTCCAAATAAAAACAAAATAGGAAGACTTTTCTCGCACTTGTAGAGACTTACAAACCTTTAGGAACAAAAGTCAATTTATAGATTTCATGAAACATGGCAGTGACGCTCTATCGCTTGTACAAAATAATGATCATTTTGCACTTGTTGACAACTTCTTACTATAGAACTCATAATATACTCATAATTTTCTTTTCTTTGGGTCCCTCCAAGCAATTACTACCCATGCCTACCATTTCCCTCACTGAGACCATGACACATGATCCCTAGCCTGTCCTTCCTATACTTTACATGATTTGATTTTTAGCTTCCATAATACGTACATGCATTTACATTTGTAATTAAATATTATGTATTTTTACGCTTAGCCTATAATGCTTTATGCAATTGGCAAGCCATTCTTGTTTAAAATGTATATGCTGAAATAAATTGACAATGTATAAAAAATATCCTATTTTTGATGTTATGAATATTGGCTATCAATTTTTGTAATTTCAGTATGAATAAAGCGTTCTTTTGTGATGTGGTCTCGGATTGTAATAATGGTCCTTAGATGGTGGGGAGGGGATATTAGATATTGTTTCTTATACCATGGTCAGAGCAATATCAGGTACACTCCCCTCCATAGGATTGGCAACCTTAGCGTCCCCATTGAACTGCGTGTTAAAGCCTCTTTACGTTTGAATTTTTATTTACTTACCCTGCGATGAAATAACTTATAATATTGATGGAAACGTAACTTGACTTTATTTCAAATACCTCCAAATTTTCCCAATTTTTCCCTAAATTACAATAGGTCGAAAATTGATGATAAATTTGATGAATTTTTGAAAAACGTCATTCCCATGTAAACCAATGGGAAATGGTGGGTTCGGAGCAAATCAGAAAATCTATTCAGTAAACGATTCAGCAAAAATATTTTTATATAGAAAATTGAAAAGTTTAACTTTTTTGCACACTAAGTGTTTAGTTTACTTGATGAATACTAATTTAAAAGTTATACAGATTCAAAGTCATTTTTGAAAATCATTTTTCGCCTCCTGTGTTACTTCAATGGGGGAGTTTTTTGAAAAACGATTTTGACTTTAAAGACCTATAACTTTGTTGAACCTGAAGAAACGTATCATTTTTTGGCTAAAAAAAGTTACCAAATTCAATTACCTTCCTAACCTGTTTTCTCAAGTACTCGGATGGATGGATATTCTGCCATATGACTTGCGGCAAACCTACCATTTCCCATTGGTTAACATGGAAATGTCGATTTTCAAAAATCCATTTTTATCATCAATTATCATCCCGGGTAAATTCAAACATTTTACCATTTGCTTTTTTTTCAATATTTTCATTTATTTCAATTTTTTTCAAATATTTTTTGATTAAAATAATAATATTTTAATTTTTTTAAATTCCCTTAAATTCTCAATGTACTTTGGAGTGGGATAATATGTAACGTAAATATTTCCAAGATCCAATTCTTTTTTCTCTCATATTTTACAGAAGATTTTGGGTAGATATTGCTCTCGATCATGGTATAAGGTCGTTATTCACCTGTCGGGATGATATGGGTAATATCCCTCGGATGATACCGATATTTCCCCCGGTCACTGCGTGTTAATATTGATATCATCCTTGCGATAACTCCCCATATAGAATCCACCTAGTGAATGACTACTTTTTATCACATAAGTTAATGGTTTGGGATAGTTGGGATTTGTTTTCCTGATGACTGGTGTACGTTTAGACGTTTTCTCTTTCTTGCTGTGTTCTGTAAAGATTATTGGTCCTTTCCCTTGGCAATTGAGCTTACATATTGGTTCAAACATTTAGCAAAAATAGTAAGAAATTATGAGTACTTGAATTACAATTCACAGTTGCAACGGAGACAAATTAGAATGCTCACTTGGTTAAATCGTGAAAATAATATGAATTTAGATTTTTTACTTTCGGAAATTATATTTGTGTATTATTTAAGTCGGCTTCTTGACCCGTAATTAACATAGAAGAATCATAAACATAAAATGCTGCCTCACATTTGGTTAAATCGTAAAAATAATATGAATTTAATTTTTTTACTTTCAGAAATTACACAACGTGTATTGAGACATGTCACAATGAGTTAATCATGAGTTGGCACTACATCACCTCATATAGGGACAAATCTTATTTGGATTTATGAATAATACCTGTTCCCTGAAAGCATCATAGGGATTAGTTCATCGGAACATGGGGATATTTATTAATCACATATTGTTGAATAATCTAGCCAACCAGATATAACAAAGCATTCACAATGAACATTTCAAATATATTTTATTAAAAATAGCGATAATATTTTGAACACATGCTTTATTAGATGCTTCGTTATATGTGAATAAAAGAAATGTGTAAATACGATATCTATCTTTTATATGAAGTTTTCAATCGTTAGAGGACATTTAAAGCAAAACCTCGAAGCAATTGTGACACAGACGCAGATTATACACTTTTGGTAGATTATACGTATATGTCATTCTGATACTCATAGCATCTTTCTGTTTCACCTGAAACACCCCAGGGCTGAGAAGAAATGAGATGTCATGCTTTAACATGATGCGTATATGTACTTGTTGGATGATCTATCCTTAGAAATCTAGCTATTTACAACTATAAATCACCACATCCTGTCATCTAAGTAAACTTGCAAGATATGGGACATTTACTTATTAATATCCATCTGTTCCACAAATCCTTCTATAATCACACGCTGCTTCTAAAGTGCCATTTATCACAGCTATTCCTTGTATCATACCCATAAAATCATACTCTTCTCTTATGCTATGACCGATACTGGATAAACCTCGTAAGATATTCTAAAATACAATGGATGAATGCATATTATAGTACATTTGAAGCAATACACAAAATCTATTGTTGTGCCTTCTGCCAGCAGAACATTACATCAAATTAACACCTTTAACATAAGAATCTGGTACCTGATATTTAGAAAAACTCTCATATTAATGGGTACCAAAATACCAAGAACAGCTCTTCTTTTACTGTATTGTGTATACTGTAACGTTGATGTCAATGAAAAAAATTAAAAAATTAATGTTTTAATTAAAAAAATTTTAATTAAAAAATTATTAATTAAATTATTATTATGTGACTTCTAGTTCGGGTTGATTCCCGATAGACCCCATATTACAGAATCACAAAAAGTGAAATATCTTTTCTTGTATTGGACATAGAACAATTTCTTTTACTGGACATATTTTAATTTGCATAACTATTCGATACAAAAGGGCTATATGAAAATTGAACCACTAAAACAGATGTAATTTAAGTTAGAGGGAACTTTCTACTATACCCGCCATGCTATCTGACCCGAGCGAGCCACCTGGTGGTGAAACTGGACCGAAACTGGTAACTACCTACTCGCATTTGCGTTATTAAATTATGGTGTAATAGGATTGACAGGCTGGCAGCACGTGGACTCTTAAATTCAATTTTGGACTGTTTACATACGTGGTTTTTAAGATATTATTGTTTTCAGAAATATTCTTTCAAGATGATAAATTGTCTGTACTACATTATTTATATCGCACGCAGTCGAAAATACTTACTTTTGGAAAATCACCGAATTGAATGATTGTGTTCGGCAGAAGCTGATGGTGTAATCTTGGGTTATATATGGCAGTTTGTATATCTTCACCAAGCCACAAATGCCGGACGGCTACCTAAGGAAGAATCTAACATAAAGAATGCCTGGTTCTATACGGGGCAAGAAATCAGATAATATGTTTCAAGATTCCCTAAAATATTTAAACTTCAGAGAGTGACTATGTATAAACTTTGCGCAAGGCATAATTCATAAGACATGTTTACAAGAGGACATTGTGGCGTATCTTGAACATTTTGATATAATACAAAACAAGAGTCACGTTTAAAAAATGTCAATAGAAACATACATATGCTGTGGCTGTAGGTATTCTAGATCCCCCAATACCACCTAGTACAAGTTTAACTTTGTTAGAAGTAGAATTCAAAATGATCACTGGTCCCATCGACGATAATGGGCGTTTTCCAGGTTTTATAAAATTGGCAGGAGATGCAACAAAGCCATGTAAATTCTTTGTGAAAGGAGTAGAGAAGTCGTCCATCTCGTTATTGTAAACAATCCCAGTCGTATTTCCCACTAAGCCAGAGCCAAATCTTTAAAGTAAGACATAGGGAAAAACAATCATCTAAATTGTCTCTATTTAAGAAAATGTTGGGGTCATTTCATGTCAGTTTTCCTAAAAGTCTCCACAGTGAATAGTTTATTAGAGGAAAACTAAAAATCTTATGTTCACTTCTCTAGATTATATTTTCTCATATGACTAACAAAGATACAGCCATCTTTACCCCATGCAAGATATTAGAGAGATTTCGTACGTAACATACGTAAAATACAACTTATAAAGTATACTTATACTTATAAGAAGAAGTACAAGGTGTTTCATAATGTGGGTATTTCGTCAGGAAAGATCTTCTCGGACTGTAATAAATAAAGGTCAAAGGGATGCCTTTTGTACTTTCTTGAATTGTAGCATGTTTAGTTGATCCAAATGTGTTTGTCTAGAATAAAATAGGCTCATATATAGTACATACATATAGACCCATCTCTTCTCAAATTGACTTTTTGGAGATGCTCGTTATGAAACACCCTGTATGTCATTTGTTGAGCTACTGAATGGGTCGTTTCCAGGAATTGCTAGAACCTACTGGTTTGATTGGTGTTTCAAATTGATGGTTAAAGTATTTGATTGGATACTGTTCCTACTCAGCCGATTAATTTAGAAAATGCTTGCGGTCAATTGTTCCACACACATGTAGGAAAGCTTTATACGTAGATCCAACTGTATACGTTGATCATCTACGTGTATATACAATTTTGTAAGTTCATCGAACTTATACTGATCATGAAAACTTTGAAATAATCAACTTGTTTATGTAATGACTCACTTGAAAGGATCATGGCTCACTTTAAAGGATCGTGTTTAGAATACACTACAACTACTAGGACACGGAAGCAAGCATTTAATTATAATGTGCATAATCTACACGTGCAGATGACAGTGCATTCACAGTCTCTGGTTGATGGAACTTTTCTGTATCGGGAATAGTTATGTTCCATTAAGTACAATTTAAAATTGATTTTAGTAAATATAATAGTTCGACATGACCCTTTAAACTATACGTATACGTATAAGTTGTACTTTCACTTATGTGCGAAATCTCTCTAATGCCATCTTTCATCCTAAAAAGTCACACGTGCAAGATGAGATTTACTTGTGACATCACTGGTCTATAAACATTAACAACATGGCAACGGGCACACCGTTGCTATGAGTATCCATGCTAATTCTACAAAACAAAGTTGTGACGTCATAACAATGTAGCTTTGTTGCCACGTGTATCTATGTATTTTCTTCAATACTGTTATGACGTCATTACAATTAAAAGATGAAGATCAATTAATTTGAAACTATTTTTCACTCAGTTTTATGATAAAATGGTGAAAATATGGCATAATACAGAGTCATATGAGAAAAACTTTCTTGTACTCGTACCTGTGCAATATCGTCCATTCTTGACTCGCTTTGATAATGTTTCTTTATCTCGTCTTCGACTCGATAAAGAAGAATTATCAAAGCTTATCAAGAATGGACGATCTTGCACAGGTACTCATATAAGAACCTCTATATCTTCTCTAACTATGTTCATTGTTTCACACATTTGCAAAGTATACGCACTATTCAAGGATCTTGATATCCTTAACATTTGTGGTGTAAACAAACTTAATACTGCAACGTTCATGTTTAATGCAGAAAAAGGCAATTATATATTCTCGACAATATCAGAAATAAAGTTACTAAAAATAACTCAGTTCACTCCTACACCACTCGTAGAAAAGATGATTTTCATGTTGGAAAAGCTAGCAGTTTTTCAGTCAATTGCTATGGCCCTCTTATCTGAAATGCAATACCTGGCAACATTAAAAATCGGACTCTCAGCGCTTGCATTAGGTTAGAAAATTTGTGAGTCCCAAGGACGCAATTTTTAAAAAAAAGTATGTCCTTTGAAACGTTAATGCAAGCCCTGGACTCTATAATAAATTTTAAAACATTGTCTTTAGCTTCAAGTCCAACTTACTTTGTTCTACTTTATAATTAAGTGTATTCATTTTACTTGCATCTTGAGACATATCATCTATGGAACAATCGTCACTATATGTATAATCATTAGAAAGCCAAGTCTGTTAGTACTATATTTTATCATATACAGGGTGTCTCAAAAAATGTACCCAAAAGTATATCAACAGCACAGATAAACCATTCAATATTTTTAGACATTTTTTGCATGGTCATGTAGCCAAAACATGAAAACATCATTTTTACTTCAGTCTTGCCTTTTTGATGCTTTAACCCTTTACCTTTTAATCCACATTTTCAATGTAACCTGTCTCCTTACTGCTACATTGTTCATCACATTTGATAATAATTCCAGTGGAATGTTTTGGATTTCTCTTTGGATGTTGCTCTTAAGTTTTTCTAGGTCTTTTGGCTTGGAATGAGCATTAAAACGCTCCTTGAAATTGCCACAGAGAAAGATGTTTGAGGATGACAATGGCAGAACAACCACAGAGAATCAGGTCAATTATCATCAAATGATTCAGGAGTTACCTTCCAGAGTTACTCAGGTTAGCTGGGAGACCAAATGATATCCGAAATGATTTCACAGTGGTCTCAAAATGATTGAGCCCCTCCACACACACCAAGGGCCACACAAGAATACCTACGAACATAGTTTCTTAAACGTCTGATCTCTCTGTATAAGGGGGGTATAAGACATTGTGAGGGCCTCCCTGTTCACCAGATTTGAAGGCCAATACATTTTTCTCTGGGGCCATCTGAAGGACTTTTTTATGCTAAACTCAAGCTAAGAAACCTAGAACAACTTTAAGCCAGCATCCAGAGAGAAATCCAAAACATTCCACCAGAAATATCATATGTGATGAACAATATAGCAGTAAGGCGACAGGCTGTCATCGAAATATGAGGTTATCCTGAAAATGTGGTGTTAAAGGTAAAGGGTTAAAGCATCAAAAAGACAAGACAGAATTAAAAGCTGTGTATAGGGGATAACATTTTCATGCTTTGGCTACAAGAGCATGCAAAAAATATCTGAAAATATTGATTGGTTTATCTGTGCTGTTGATATACTTTTGGGTACATTTTTTTGAGACACCCTACATGTATATATAGTAGAGAAGCTTTTCCATGTTTACAGCATTAGACTCTAGTCTTACTTTTTGTTTATTTTTTATTTAGAACTCTTTTTTCTAGCACGCGATAGTCTTTTATATGCCATTGTGGTGTCTTAGATTGTGACATGTTGCATATTTTGTATATATTCATTTATTATCTTTATGCAACGAGCAAGTACCTAACAGCAATCTGAGCGACTGAATCATAAATACTATTATGATAAATAAACAAAATAAATAATATAAATAATGGTAAATAACACACTGGAAAATGGCAACCATTTTCGAAAAGGCCGCTTACTAATCAAAATGTCATTGGAAAGTGTAAAATGCTTAAATAAGTATTCACATACTTTCAACATAATCACTGTACATTAGTATGCACCAAACGGAGATATATGTCACGATATAGGGTAGAGATTTTTTGAAATGACCGGGCATCAGGGACAGATTAAAAAATTAGAACAGGACTCCGTCGTCAAAAGAGTTAACGTATAGCATAAAATGGACCCTTTTTCAAAACTAACACAAATGGCTAAAGGTAGCAGCTAAAAGATCGATACACTATCGATAGATTTTCATACCTTTTTTTAAAAACCAACACAAATTGCCAAAAGTAGCACTTTTCCAGAAAATAAACAGAGTCCAGCCTATCGATAGATTTTCATACCTTTTTTCAAAACCAACACATATGGCCAAAAGTAGCACTTTTCCAGAAAATAGAGTCCAGCCTTCAGTATTTATCGATTTTCTTTCCTTTTTCAAAAACCAACACAAATGGCGAAAAGTAGCACTTCCAGAAAATAAACAGAGTCCGGCCTATCGATAGATTTTCATACCTTTTTTCAAAACTAACACAAATGGCCAAAAGTAACACTTTTCCAGAAAATATTTCAGGATGGTAAGTGCCCAGAAGCAAATAATTCATGTGTGCAAAATATGCAAATAATCTCATTAGTTTTAACTTATTTGCGCATGCGCCCGACGTGTGCCGTGTTTTTTCTTTTGATTTCGTTTCGTTCCATGGAGTTTGAGTTTCAGTGTGAAAACCCACCCTTTATTATTTACTGTTCGCACTGTAGATTAGATTTTCAATAAATCAATATCCTAAATAATATTTTGCATTAAAAAAACATATACTATTTCAGTTTTACATGATGTATCTAAAATATTGTGAAACTGACACTAAAATGGTCACTATTTTGAAACAGGCGGCCACTTTGAAAATCGACTTTCGAGCTGAACTTGCACGCGAATATGGCATATACGTGCACGATATAAACGATCTTGGGCCAACGATATTTGAGTTATTATTTACTGTGCGGACAGACGTACAGACGTAGTACGTACGGATGGAGCTGTTCTGTATATCCCCCCGAACTTCTTTCGACACCCTTCCCGATGTACATACGACAAAATAAATTGACATTACGCACCCAAAATTGAGGGATGAGGTGAAGGCTGCTATGCCACCATTTTCATCAACTATAGAAGTATGAGCAGTTCCTTTAGTGAGTCTGTCATAGAATGTTTCTCCATAGTACGAAGGATGAAAGGTCTTGTCACCGAATATCCTAGCTCTGGTTTGTGCGGCAGTTGTCTGAGACAGCATTTCACGAAGAATCTGAATAATCAATTAATGAAAAGTATCAATATGTAGATGTTTATATGGACAATATATTTAATAACATATTTCTCCATATATAGTAGGAAGCATTATGGCCTGATCTTTGAACATTAGTTTGTGCAGCAGTTTTTTGTGCTAGCATTTCAGGAAGAATCTGAGTACTAGATATAGTAATCGGTTTGTGGAAAAAATAATCAATTGTTGATATAATGGACAGTTTCTTGTGTGAGATGTCTGTCCATAATACGCATTATTTTACATTGAGGTTGGTCAAGGCACAAATCGTAGTACCAGATTGACATATTACAAAATCTGTCTTACACAAAGATATGTTATGTTTGGTGTTAACACTGTTGAAATTTATAATTCTGATTACAATTGAACCGTTGGAAGTGTATTTTAGAAACACCCAATAATTTTGGAATAACTTTCTCAATAATTCAGGAATCCACGTGATTTGTTTGTGAAAAAAGATTGTAGTTGTACTTGGATAGCATCAACAACCTTCAGATTTAGAGATATCACATTTTCCGTCCAGGTATGCTCTCAGTGAAAACATCAAAATATGTTCAAAAATGCAATTTTCTGAAATCTAGATCTCTGTTTCTGCCATAATTTAGGTCATTACTGGATTGCTTTCATTACTTTACACATATATTATCAATATTTAGAGGTTATGTCACTATCGTTGCATATATGCCCGAGGGTTTCAGTGATATATGACCCGACCTTGGGAGGGACATTGATCACTGAGAACCGAGGGCATATGTGCAACTATAGTGACATAAACGATTTATAACATACCTATGATGATCTAGCCTGGTCAGAGAGTACCGTTTTCTTATCTTATTGACTAGCAATGGTTCGGAAATGATGATTTATTTCCATGTTTGTATCTTACGAATGTACGAGTTAATTTGACCTAGACATAATGTATGACGTAGTCCCAGCGCTTGGCCAATCAGAAAGTTAGCGGGCGCGGGCTTTTCAAAAGTTATATTGGCCTGCTGTCTTGTGAACAGTTTACACTATACATCATCATAGGTATATTATAATATGTCATATTACCAATTTTTCTTAAATGACTTTGTCAAATTTGATTCGCTTATTGTTTTTTGTAAGAAAGACAGATTTTCATATGAGTGATTTTGTGTCAGAGCATACCTACACGGAAAACGAGATTTCTCTTAATTCTCAAGTTGTTGATGGTATCCAAGCATACCAATCTTTTGTCCATTGAACACTATATCTTAACATATAAATCATGAAGATTTCTTAATTATTGAGAGCGTCTCTAAAAAATTAGTACACGAGGTGGATTTTTTTGTCATGCTGTATAATGTGCGAGGCTTACATATTTTTGGTCAACATATTCCTCATCGCCTAATTTGGCTCGTTTTGCATATGCCCATTTAAAACTCTCTATGAGACGATGATGACAAGTAACAGATGTAGAGTCACTTTCAAAGTCAATTTCAGAGCAGTCGGTGCTGTTAAAGTTATATCCATCTAAAATATTCAGTATATATTGCAAGACGGCACTACTTGATGGTGGAGGGATACCATACACACTGAGATCTCCATTTTCGAGATGTGTCACCAATGGATCTTTTACAATGGCATTGTAGCTTTTCAAATCTTGCTCTGTTATAATTCCACCTTAAAATATATAGGAAGAAATTATTGATAAAGGTAAGAACGTTTGTGTCTCAATAACCAGAACAATTTAATTAATTTGCTATATATACATTATTCCCTTTTGATATTATACTTCATTATATCACTGGAATATTCTTCACTCTCTGATTGATTTATAAATTATGTCCTACACGTGACTTGGAGATATTCCCTGATTAGGCATGTGACTGAGGAATATTAATTCACTTTCTAGTGAATACCTGTACATATTTCACAGGTTCAATACTCCCCTTGGACCCAGGAGTTTGGGCAATAATGCTTGTGAGTGATGCGCAGGTATTCATCTCAATAGAATTGAATATTCGTATAAAATTCATACTAAATACCCATTTTCTGGATTTCGTTTGCAATTGTTCTATCCAAGCTTAATGGGTCAGTAGCTATTTGCTGTAAAGTTGCTCCATATTTTGGTCTAAACATTATGTCTCTTGCTTTATAAGGTCTTCCTTCAGCTTTGTTATGAAAAGGTGCTCTAACAATAAAGAAAAACATGCACATTGACAAAGACGTTAAAAGAATCATTTATGCGTATGTTCACTAGATAACGGCAACGCCAAGGTGTAGTAAATCCTTTATAGCAAATTAATATTTTTCAAATGATCACCTTATGGTATTATATGAACACGATAAATGAACAGGAAATGACAACATAACGACCAAGACTCGGAACATATTTCGTTCGTGGCCAACTGTGAAATATTCACTCCAATCATGTTGTTTATTCAAAATGTACCTTAGAAATCATATGTACACTCGTAAACATGTCACACGTGAAATATTTTTAACATGCACTGCTATTTTTGTAATTAAAGTGAGCATTTTACAAGTCAATGTTATTTTGAATGAGTTGCACATAGTTGAATGTAGTAAAGATTTAAAGTCATCATCAAAAGTACGTACTTCTTTGAAGGATATTTTTATTCACTTACTCCTGTGGATATTCTTTTTCAGCATTTTGAATCAATTCAATGACAAATCCTATATCTTTTCCCAATTCGTCTGTAACGACGATACCTTCTTTGCATAGTTTTATGGACGGTGTCAGGAGGTCAAACCATTTCACTTGCTCAGATCCGAACTTTGTAAATGCTGTCCATAGCCCTCGTACAAGGCTTGGTACTGCTATCGACAATGGACCTGAAATGAAGTGATTCAAACATATTCTTATTGACTTTTACGTCCTTCTCCTACCTTAACATTATTGATGAAACATTAGTTGCAATGGATTAATGGCAATAAGCCATGTACATGTCAGGTGACTTAAAGGAACAAAATGCGTAAATAAAGTCTCAGTTTTGATCTTCATAGTATTTCCAATGGATTATTAAGTACCTGATCTTTTATTTGACACCAAAAACACCTCAAACAGATCACATCAGAGTTGACACTAGATCATGCATGAAAAAATATTTTCGATCTATCAATTTATATATTTCAAGTTTTTAGCAATGCCATTGAAAGATGGTATTGTTGTTTGCATTAGTTATCCATTCATTTTTGATAGGAATTTCAACCATACGCCATCTTTTAATCCAAGAGTTATTTAAAACATACACTAAAGTGAAAAATGGCAATTCACTTGTTTTGATCTCTGAACTTCAAATGCTGTTTTCTATGCAAGTGATTTTTTTCACTCCAGTATTGACCCAAATTAAAGTTTTCATCATATTTGATTGAGTGTGTGGGTAACATGTCACACACAACATGTCTCAAATAACATTTTGTCCCCTTGCCTTCAAAAATAGGCACATTGCCTGTTTAATTAGCATTTCGTCTATTGTCCTAAAGAAATATGTTCATGTTCCTTCATATTTCTTTATCTTTTAATTTACATTTCCCATACACTTTCCATTTTGACTTTTGTTTGTTCTTATATCAATGAAACTTGCACTTGGGTGATTGAGGCTACAAAGATTCCTATGGGGTTTTATTAGCCTGTCAAATAGTAAAATTTTGGCTTTTACCTAATTTCGAATCGTCCGTCCTCCCAACGAACATCGTTTTATTTGCTAGAAGCGGTGCAGTCTCTCTACCATCTATTGCTTCCACAACGCCGCTTTTTGAGTCCCTTAGTAACATGAACAAACCACCTGGGCGTCGAAGAAGTGTTAAAGTTCATTTGATGGAGGGATAGTCACGGATGCGTGAAAATATGGCATATTGAACACTGATTTGTATGTGCAATCTATTTCTGTATTACACTCCTCTCCATAAGTTTGACAACTTTTTTGCCCATAGGTTTATGTGTTAAAGCCTCTCTATGTTTGTATTTTTATTGGCATTGCCTGCAAAAACTAATAATACACGAGGAGATGTAACTTGACTTTATTTCCTATACCTCCATATTTTCTAAATTTTTTCTCAATATAATAGGTCGAAAATTGATGAAAAATTTGATGGATATGTGAAAATCGCCATTCCGATGTAAACAATCTTCAAGGGGAGTCAATCAAGGATGTTCCCCATCGGCATACCTTTTCACAATAGTAGCGGAAATACTGGGTATATCTATTAGACAAAATAACGATATTGAATGAGATTGAAATTTCAATGTTTGACGATGATACAACATTTTTCTTGAACTCCATAGCATCAACCGACAAAGCCCTCAAACAACAAAAACAGAAGGTAGATGGTTAGTTTGGTTTACACAAAAATACCGATTTTCAAAAAGTCATCAAATTTGTCATCAATTTTCAACCCATTGTAATTGAGAAAGTAATTTAAAAAATGGAGGTAAATAAAGTCAATCTACATCTCTGCCTTCATTATCAGTTTTTCTCATTGCAGGTTATTAAGATAAAAATACAAAAATAGAGGGACTTTAACACTTAAGCCTATGAGGAAAGGGTTGCCAAACCTATTGAGGGAGTGTAAATTTGAACATCTGTAAAGCTACGCCACTCACAAATAAATACATACAAATAAAGAAATAAAAAAAACTTAGCAGCACTTTAATGAAACGTTTGGTTGAAAGTCCTGTAATCATTGCAGGATGTTACAATTTCCTAAATTCTGGGTGACGATGTGCGTCGTTCTGCAGGGGGATGAGCTGTGGTGGCTAGCCCTTAGTTATGGATTGAGAAAGTCAGGACCAATACGTGATATTGAGCTTTTCTTACGGGCGCAAGCTCATAAACTTTCATTGTCTATGATATCACTTCTTGTGTGAAATAGGCAATTAACACTTCTAAATGCAATTCTAAATGATAAGTATTGACGTATATCAAGTGTTTTGCTAAGTCTGTAAGTATGAATAGTAAAAATATTTTTAAAGGTATCCTACATAGAGAGAAATGGACTTGCAATAATATACCCATAGGTTGGATGCTGGCTGAAATCATACGTACCACCAACCCCAGTTAGTTGGGGTTTAACAACACCCATACAAAAGGTTGTAGCGATGGCAGCATCAACAGCATTACCACCTTTCTTCAATATGTTTCTGAAACACGCAATTGGCAGTTTTATAGCCCAAATAGATAATAGTCATGAAAGCAGATGCAATATTAAGGAAAAATGACAGTAAATGAGTTTATTTGCCCATTGATGTATCCCATTAAACTCCTATCAATCTCCAACTCTTGCACAGTTCAAGGCTCACGGTCAAAATTACATTCGCAGAATTAGACTTATCAGATACTACCCTTTACATTCGTTCGACTTCACTTCTTAAAAGAGAGCTTCGTCTTTCAGTTTGCAATAAATCTCTGATCTCACCAAGGCAATCAGAATTTGTCATCGAAATGCGGACGATTTTCTATATGGTCATTTCCTATGGCATCACCGCATAATTAATGAGCACGTATTTAGCACGGGTTCTTTTCACTTCGCTGATTGGTTGAGAAAGGGTCAGCGTGGTAGATTTGGAATGATTTATTACTGGCATCTATCTTTGAGGCGGGGTTGCTATACTGTAATATAGTCTATACTAGGCAGAGGATAGTTTATGACTAGAATCTGCGCGCAGGGTAATCAGATACGATGATTATGGTATTCCGAAGAGACATAAAATGACCGAAGTTTGTCATAAGACCAAATAGGTGGCACTTATCTATTGATATTCAATACAATCATAATGAAGAAATATATTTAGCAACAGCTATTTATTTATCATTAAATCGTTGATGAAATGACAAATACTGTAGGACCCGAGGGCACCCCAGGGGAATGACTATTTATACTGAGCATATAGTGTACGCCAGATACAGGAAATGAAAGAAAGCATGCTACATGTAAATCCAAGCTCCGTGTGGGAATCGAACCCACAACCCTTATATCCAAAACTGATGCTCTACCAACTATTATAAGGTTAAGCCACTACAACTGGGCTGTAGTAGCAACTTGCTAGGTTACACTACCCCCCCCCCCCTTTGAAAGGACCACGCCATCGTAGTCAGCTCTGCTTTCCAAAGGGTAACTTAACATGCACGCAACATGGAGTCGAACCCAGGACTCTTAAATTCGAAGACTGATGCTCTACCAACTGAGCTATAAAGGCTTAAAAGGCCAATAAACCTGAATTTCGATGTTGACACATTTTCACAAATCTGGTCACTTTTCTCCAATTTCACATTGATTGAGAAAATGTGTTGCCTGTAATACTGCAATGCTGGTCCTTTTTTTTTATCATCTTTCATATTTATTGTAAGCACAAGTAATTTAGATACAATAACAAGGGGCAAAGCGCTGTAAGCATTAGATGTCCCCTTATATAATTAAACAATAAAGTACAATATTCATTTTAACCTGGATGTCACCTGTAAATGGTAGAATGCCTTGCAATGAAACAAAAGATAGGAGGGCTGCTGATATCCTGGGGGAGGGGTAGTATGTTGAAAAATGGAAACAGGTCATAGGCAGGAAAATATTTAGATTCTGGTTGTGTTTTCAATGAGATAATTCGCAACCAGTGAAAATAGATTATCCATTTCTAATTGGGTTAATGATGGATCCCCAAAAAGAAAAAAGTGAATTTTGTCTTGCTGAGTTCTGAAATGAGTTAATAAGTCCCCATATATCCCTAAAGTATCTGTTATTAATTTATTTCTTTGTTGTTCTTTCAGAGGGCATTTGAAAAAGAAGTGGGGAAAAGTTTCCGGGGAACCACATAAACAATTTGATGACTCAACTGAGCTCCAATTGTGGGCTTTAAGCTGGGCTTTTAAAATTAAATCTACCCTGGCTCTATTCAGATAAAGTTCTTGTTGACGAGTTAATTTTAAACAAATTGTTGAAACAACACCAGGGAACAAATTTAATTTAAGTGTTCTTTTAAAAGATGCAATAGTTGGCAAGAGCTTTTGTTCCAAGGGAACAGATCCTGGATCATTCCATAGGTTCATCATTTTGTATATTGGAGACTTATGTGGATAGTGAATAGGGATAGTGAAATCTCGAGATTTCCTTAACAATCTTGCTTGAGGGTTTATGAATGGCCTAAATATATCTGAGATATAAATAGGTGTTAAATCGTTCACGGCTTTGTACATAATTGTTTTAAAGTGGAGGATCCTCCTCTCAGTTAAGGTGGACCAGTTCAAAATGTTAAGTACTTTGGAAGTGCTGGAGCCTGGGAGAGCACCAGAGACTATTAGACCGACTTGGTACTGGAGACTGTCAAGTCTGTTAAGGTCACAAATAGGAGCACAGTCGTAAAGGATATCACAATAATCAAATAAGGACTGAATATAAGCTGTATAGAGAATATTTAATTGTTTTGATTTTAGTCTACCCTTAAGTGCTTTTAAGGGGTTAAGAGCTGTTTGGATTTTTGCACAGATGGAATTTATATGTGCTGACCCACTTAATTTTTTATCAAAAATGAAGCCTAGGTGTTTATGAATGTCAGTTTTTTCAATTTGTTTATCATTTAAGATAACTGGTGGATAGATTGGATTATTTTTCTTAGAAAAGGTCATTTCTCTGCTCTTTTCTGGTTTAAAATCTAGTTTCCACTGTTTAGACCAGGCTTCGATTTTTTTTAGATCATTTTGAATTTGTATATGAGACTGCGGATTGTTTGGGGAAGTAGGTACAAAGAGGGAGGTGTCGTCTGCGTAAATAAAACACTCTGAGGTCAGGTTGTCCGGTAAGTCGTTTATATAGAGGAGAAACATCAAAGGTCCGAGAATACTTCCCTGAGGCACAGAACAGTTTATGTAGTTGCTAGGAGAGGTGTCAGAACATTTGCCATTCACAGTTACTTTGACACTCCTATCAGTCAAATAAGATTTTAGAAAAACTAATAAGTTTCCTGAAAATCCATACGCTTTCAACTTTTTTAGAAGAAGGTAATGGGGGACACGGTCAAACGCGGCCGAAATATCCAAAAAAATTGCACGTGTATCATTGCCGTCGCTAAAATTGCGCCAAATTAGGTTTTGGATGGCTAACAGTTGTAACTCATTGCTGTGCCCTTTCAAAAAACCGGACTGGTATTTATACAATAAGTTATTTTCAATTAAATGTTCGTACATCTTAGAGTAGACAATTCGCTCTAATATTTTGGAAGTAATACTGAGAAGAGATATAGGTCTATAATTTCTTATGTCATTCTTATTATTCTTTTTAAATATTGGGCAGATATCCCCTAATTTCCAGTTCTGGGGAAAATTACCTGTGGTCAAAATTTTATGAAAAAGTAAATTAAGTGGCACAGAAATAGTATTCCTGCATAGCTGGAGCATTTTTATTGTAACTCCATCTGGACCATTTGCTTTTGAGGGGTCAAGATCCTTAATTATAGAGATAATTTCCTGTTGGTCAAAGTCAATGTTCTCTAATTTGTTATTGCACCTGTCAGGAAAATGAATATTATTATTCAATGCATCTGGTTCTAAGTGATACATGTTAGAGAAATATTTTTGAAATTCAGTAGCTTTCTCCTGACTGGTCAAACAGGTAGTTCCAGTTAAAGGGTTTTCTATGGTAGGAATAGGCGAGCTAAATTTTTTACCTAAAAACTTTTTTATAAGTTGCCAAAATTTGTCACTTGCATGTGTTTCTCCATTTAGACTTTCTATTTGATCTGATGTAAATTTTGCTTTGGTTTCTAAAATAATGCTGGTCCTTCAATGTTTTGATGATCATATTCACGGTTACGTCAAGACGATTTGCAAAATTTTGCGGTAACGATAACAAAAATTGGCGGATGGGAAAGACAGCATGTCCTCTTTCTTGCCTGTAGGCAAGATTCAAAGATACGATTTCCCTTTCAACTAGTCCCATTCGGTGACGTATATATGGATGGTTATAAAGACTTGGTCAAATCTGCCAGGTGGTTTACTAGAAGCAGCATAAACTGTAAACTTACCGACTGAGATATGAAAGTTCATAATTTTTAGTCCATTCTCGTGTTTTCTCAGTATATGTGCCTCAGAGCCACTCAAACTATTAACTGTAAGTAAACTATGTATGGACAAGCCATAAAATGACAAATCCAGAACAGGAACGTGGTGTATATTGTAAATAATAAGGTTTCAAACGCAATGTCGTTAGACGACTACCTATGAATTCTATGTACGGTAACGTATTGTATTAGTTGTACATAAGATATTTAGCGGACGGTTACGCGCATGTACTCCTTTTAAGTCATGGTTGCTAGTTCTGATAGCCTATTTCCATGGCATCTTTATAATGGGTCAGAAATGGAATATTGAATTGGTTATATTTGTTTTCAGAACTCGCAAGAGACGCTCTTGTTTGAGCATCTATAGGGCAAGGAAAAAATTGTGTCTTGCTTTATTTATAAAACCGATGAAAGTCAAAAAGAAAGCAATGAAGAGGCAAAAGAAAAATTAGCAGCAACTACTGATGAATATGACAAAATTAATAACAATGAATCGGGGATATATATTTGAACGAGTTTCGTGGAACCGTCCATCAATTTTTTACGTAACCGCAAATTCATAATACATTATTATGGATTGAGTAGAACATATTAGATGGATTCCAATTAGGCCATCAGCTTCACCCCAAAATTGAGGTTATCGGTGCCAAGTTAGGGGAATAAGCCTCATTGTGATTTTTGGCAAGGTAAATACCTCTAGAGTAAGAAATTATATGATAGCATTGCAGAAGTGGCAACTATATGGGTGTTATCACCAATTTTTCAAAATGGCCACCGATGCGCTTGCTACCAAATTATTTAAGGTTTTAGGGGTCAAGGATTTTATTTAAGTCAAAATCTAAGTCATCAAAGAATTGGAAATCCAAGATGGCCGCCAAAATGGATGTCAAAACAATTATGTCACTATTGATATAAGCTCAAAAAGCTCAAAGAACGTTTAAAAAGTGACTTTGGAGACCATGAAAAGGTTTTAGAGGCTAGGGATTTTATTTGTGTCTAAATCTAAGTAATCAAAGAACTCCTTTACATAGAAATCCAAAATGGCCACCAAAAATGGGTCTCAAAATGAATACGTAACTATTTATGT